AGATTTAATTACAAAGTTAGATATGTCTCAGGTTCACCTGGTATTGTACTTCGACGCAATCTCTCGTGCTTTTACTTCTGCGTTTGCTCGTCCGATCTCGTTCACCTACTCCTTGCACGAAACATCTCCGATGCTTTCGACACCTGTGTGTGTGTATGTGTGTGTGTGTGTGTGTGATCCTCCTCGTTCGTAAATCCTGCGAAACGAAGAGTTCGCGAACGCGTTTGCCGAAAAACTCCGAACGGAGACTCTCTCTCGGCGTTTGTTCGATCCTCGGTTATCCTCGGTTAATCTCGCTTCTAGAAGTCGCTGGTTCTTATATTTCTAAATCTCAGTATCGTTAATTGGCACATCTCAAATGGCAACTTTCGCATTGGCACGATGAAAATCGATCCTTAGACTTTCTGTTCTCTCCATTTTTGTTTCCCCTCCTTTCCTTTGAATTTGTCGACACCGACGATCGCGCACGCGCGAATCTTGTTCGCGTTTCCGTAAACGAAATTGGCAAAGTTATAACAAGGAGCACTAAAATACATAGCCGAAATTGCCGTTCGTGTACTCGTTAGTAGAAATCGTTAAACTCGCCGTAGCGTCGGTCCTCGATAAATCTATACGTGCAAGTTCGAAACAAACAGCCGATTGAAACGTATATCCAGACCGTCGAACGAACGTATCGTTCGACGTTGTTCAAAAGTTCTTTCGAAGGTACATTGTCACAATGTATCGTGACAATTATACTGAATTTACGCTACAAATCTGTGATTGTTACGCGTTATTACGTGGCAAGTACGCGAAGTGGACCAATCGAGCGCAATGACGAAGCATCGAAACGTCGTCCGAGAATTGCAACGTTAAGTAGCGATCATCGTGTGCTTGAGAGATCATAAAAAGTTTCTCGAGTGGAAAGTTTCTCATGTGTAGCTGATCGAATTGCTAATAGAAACACCCGGGGCGAGTGAAGTTCGCACGGTGCACAGCTTCAACTAGCTAGTCGAGAAGAAGATCTGTTATTACGTGGATATGGAATCGGAATGGATCGTCGATTAAAAAGAAGTTTAAGCATGAAATAGAAGTGCCCGGGAGAAAACTGACTCGCGTTAAATAGAAAACTATCTCATATCGTAAGTCTCTAATTGACTACCAGCAAATCGTTCGAAAAACTCAGTTGTCACATCGTGCCGAGTCTGAATAACTAATTCGGCGATAAATAAGCGACTGTCGGTGAACGGATCTCGTTCAGTCCCCTTTCGTGACTGTATTTTTGATTTCAATAAACCGCGCTCGATTCGATTCTATTGAACGCGATAGATAACGATTCTAAATTAATACTTTTCTAGCCTCGGACGGCTGTTGCACCGTTCTCACCGCGTGAATTCTCACCCCCTTCCTTTGTCTGGCTTTGTCTAGCTTCGTACGAGATCAAGATCATACGTTTTTACTTTCTCATGGAAAATTGTTGAAATTCTAACG